TGACAATTGTGACTCTTGGCCCGCAGTGACAACCAGTTCCTTGCCTGGGGGCACCTTGTCAGGTTGTCCGGGAGCTGCCACTTCACCACCAAAGAATGCCACAAGCTCTTCTTTGTTGCTACCAACTGATAGGTACTTAGAGAACTGCTTTGGCGTGCTCTATTTCCCTCTACATTTTCCTCTTCGCCATACATACATACATGTACATGTACACACTAGTCAGAACAACAGATGGCTTGATCAGTCACAACAAAGTTTCATGCCATCTCAGGCATGTACATGTACATGTACAGTGGTCCCTCTATAATCCGGCACCATTTGTGCCACGGAAATCTGCTGGATTAGGGAGGGTGCTGGATTAACAAATCTGATTTACTGCTGCAATGTGCATGAAGCGGACATTTTGGCTACTGAAAATTGTGCTGGTTTATCGAGGGTGCTGGATTATAAAGTGCCGGATTAGAGAGGGACGACTGTACATGTATATCCATTAGATCACCAGTGGTCACAGACTACTCTATTCATTTCTACCTCTTTTCTAAAAGGCTTTATAGATGTCACATGTACACTGGTCACCAATATATTTCTACAGTTGTCGGTGTATGCATGCATATTTAATTACGCATGTACAGTAATGTATAGTTGCAGTAGATCCGATTTTATAATTCACCTTTGAGGCCCTGAAGTTTATTTGTTTTCAGTCAAACTTGGCCAACCAGTCATACGTATTGGATATGTTTATATCCAGCAGGAATGTTGTCAAAATATCGCATAGTTCTCCTGTATATTTGAATTAACTGATTTGTTGCCATGGCAACCATCATCAATTCTTTCCACCTTCATTGTATGACCTTCCCGATGGAAATTTTGATTGAATGGCATACCATCTTGCAGCGTTTTGAAGATACTTGACACTCAAATCGACAAAACTTGGTTCCCTCTTACCCGGAACGAAACTTCAAAAATAATCCCCCTGGCCCCCAGACTATGTCCCCTCCCCATGCCCCCCAGCCATTGTGGGACACACTCACTGACTACACTGTCTTTTGCAAGAAACTAGCCAGTTTGACCCTGGTGGGGTGAGTGGTTGCATGCGTTCGTCTTGCATGCATGTCTGGTCACGGGTGCATGATGTGCGGGTGCTTTGGGCAGGCTTTGTCCCTCCCATCCCCAGGCATCCCATGCAGAAGGGGAGAAAGTAACGGTATGCGGCCATCAGTCATGATCATGGGCAATCATAGCATTTCATTTTCATCCTGCACACGCTAGACTCCAGTTTGAAAGGTGAGAAGCTTGTGATCATAGCGGCCATGGACAAGTAGGGAGTGAACATGCAGTGACGACGAATCTTGTATAAGACGAGTCGTCGACTCGAGAAGGATGTCTACGGCCATACCACTTTGAAAATACCGGTTCTCGTCCGATCACCGAAGTCAAGCAACGTCGGGCGAGGTTAGTACTTGGATGGGTGACCGCCTGGGAATACCTCGTGCTGTAGACTTTCTTCTTTTCTTTTCTTTTCTTTTTTTCTCAGTTTTCATCCGGTTTTTTCTTCTTCTTTGTTTGTTTGTTTGTTTAGCTTTATTTTACTTCACCAGAAGCACAGGCAAAATCTGCCTTCTCACTGGGCGTAATGCCACAGTTCTCGCAAAATGATGAAGGTGGTGATATAAGAAAAGGAGGAAGAGGAAAATACAATCATGAACAAGGCACAAAGAGAAGACGGAAACAAATCAATGAGGGAGTACTACAAGTAACGAATTTGAATTTGATGAATTTTTCATGAAAATAATGCAACGGATGGAAAGGTTCCAGGGTTGAGGGAATGTTGACAGTTATGCGTCTTTGAGATCTTAGGAGAGGGTAAGAGAGTTTAAGATATCGTTTGTAATTGCTTTCTTAAATGCAGAAGGAATTGTGATGGAGCGGACATCAGGCGGCAGGCAGTTCCAGTACACACTACCAATGAACTGAACAGTGGATCGACCGGAAGGACCCGGCAAAAACGGGACACGAAGCCGCTGAGACGTGAAGCCTGACCCCGTGTGGCACGACCATTGACTAAATCAAAGAAAGTGCTGAAAAGATTACTGATCATTTCAGTACCAAGACATCTGTGAACAAAAAATAATAATTTTTGCTTATATATCTGAGTAAGAGTAAGAAGATCAAGTCGACAGAGAAGAGGGGATGATGGGGTAGTAGAAGGCACCTGGAAAACGGCGCGAATTCCGGATTTGAAAATCTTGACCAAGCGATCCAACAACTGCACTGTGAGGCAAGGATAGAAAGCCGTAGACGCATTCTTTCTACTACTAACTAGTCTAGCTAGCTGTGGCGTGCGTCGGTGGGTGGTTCGCGGGTCGTGTGCGCCAGGTTGTATTCTTGGGGTTTGTTTGTATGTTTTCAGCTTTGTCCCCTCCCCATGCCCCAAGCCATTGTGGTACACACCAGCACCCTAGACTCCAGTTTGAAAGGTGAGAAGCTTGTGATCATAGCGGCCATGGACAAGGAGGGAGTGAACATGCATTGACGACGAATCTTGTATAAGACGAGTCGTCCAATCGAGAAGGAGGTCTACGGCCATACCACGTTGAAAATACCGGTCCTCGTCCGATCACCGAAGTCAAGCAACGTCGGGCGAGGTTAGTACTTGGATGGGTGACCGCCTGGGAATTCCTCGTGCTGTAGACTTTTTTCTTTCCTTGTCTTTTCTTCTCAGTTGTCATCAGGTTTTTCTTATTCTCTGTACTACTTTCTAGTCAAGCTAGCTGTGGCGTGCGTCGGTGGGTGGTTCGCGGGTTGTGTGCGCCAGGTTGTATTCTCGGGGTTTGTTTGTTTTGAGCTTTGTCCCCTCCCCATGCCCCCCAGCCATTGTGGGACACACTCACTGACTACACTGTCTTTTGCAAGAAACTAGCCAGTTTGACCCTGGTGGGGTGAGTGGTTGCATGGGTTCGTCCTGCATGCATGTCTGGTCATGGGTGCATGATGTGCTGGTGCTTTGGCCTTTTTTTGGCAGGCTTTTTCCTTCCCCCTCCCCAGACATCCCATGCAGAAGGGGAGAAAGTATGCGGCCATCAGCCATATTCATCGGGAATCATTGCATTTCATTTTCTTCCTGCACTGACTAGAATCTACTTTGGAGGTGAGCATCTTGTGATAGCGGCCATGGACAAGGAGGGATAGTGCATGTACAGGTAACGAACTGCATGACATCCTTACTTGTCCATGGCATGAACCCGCAAACACCCTGAGTAGAGAAGACTCCGATCAAGCCAAGTACGAAAACCGTGCGGTCAGACTGGCCTACATGTCAATCATAGAGAGGACAAATGCACACTAGTTTGTATATGCCATCCGTTAATTTTATGCACAATGAAGAAGTACAAAACAATGACAAACCTTTTCAATTCCAACAAGCGGCGGGGATAGTAGTAGTGGTGAGGCTTCCTGTAGCTTCATTCATAGGAAGAGGTTTTAGAGCAGATACGGCGGCCCGGGAGATTGCATTCTTTAAAGGAACCGTGATAAGGCCATGGTAAAAATTATCTTTGATTCTCAAGTACGCGCGCACCGATTTTTGGCGGCGCACCGATGATTTATTATTATTTCTATGCATGCATATGCGCACATGAAAACGGTCAATGCGAAAGGCATGAACCAGGGAGTAGTAAAATACCGGTATTTTTCTACTCCCTGGCCTGAATAATAAAATAATTCTAATAACCTATGACGTACATTTGTGTGACCCTATCTTTGGAATTAAAAAATTTGTGGGAAATAAACTAAAAAAATCTCTCGCTCGCACCCATTTTCACAGGCTCATGAACCGAGAATCAACTTTATTTTTTACCATGGCCTAAAGAGGACGAGCCGATATGACAATATTTTGGTTACTTTATTCGACTTATGACAGCGAATAGAAAGAATGTGCAATGGTGTGAAAAAAAAGAAAGAGAACGAATTGAGAAAGAACAATGTGAAAGAAGGATTCGAACAAGTTTTCGTAAAACATTCATCACTAATCATCATTGTACTGTATCGTTATTTTCCATTCGTTATGAATATTCACTGAATACTTATGACGAAAAGTTGAATCGACATTTGTGTACACTTGTCGATTCAGCTTGTCTTATTGATTGCGGTTATCAAATTATTGTGTCCTCGTCGTTTGTTTTGAATACTTATTCGTATTCTATTTCATCCAATGATATCTAAATAGTAAGTTCCATGTAAATCAAATTAATTCCATGAGTTGAAGCTCTAGCCATACGTTGATGATGTTATTACTGAAGTATATTGATACTCTGGTAGTCGTACCAGGCAATCTGGCAGAAGCACTATCAATCCTCCGTAAAGTGATACTTGAAGTACATGCACGCCATGAATGCATTGTATGGAATTAGATATCCATAAAAGCAAAGACTACTAGTGTTTGCGTGTACATGTGATAGACTTTATTCACGCTCTGCGAGGTTTTCTTAAAACCAGCTCAGAATGGGTATACGTTTTGGTCCCTGACTTTGCGTAGCATCCGAACAAGCAGAAGCCAGCTACACTGGCCAATCCTATGCCAGTGAATGAGCAGGCATGCAGGCCGATGGTCCCGCGGACCCACTCTCTTTCTACTCGACTAGGCCCAGTGTCCTACAAGCAATGGCTACAAACAAGTCAGTTCTGTCACTGGCTGGCTGTGTTCACCTTAGCAGCCATTCACTCGGATGCAGACTCTGCCGGGTTCGGCAGATCAAAAACGATCGGCACTTGCCGCGGACGGTATCTCAGGTCACAATTGGAAGCGTTGATGTACGTTGTCACGCCATCTGTGGTGATGCCGTACGCTGCATAGACACACAAACACGATGGTTGAAGAAGTAAAGCAAAGTTGGCACATCCACGTTACAACCGGCTATACAATTGTATGGAGAAACACGATGGTCGAAGAAGACAGGCATATTGATTTCAACGGCACAAAGCAAGCAGCACCAGTAGACGACATGGCCAGCAATCGAGGACATCTGAGAGTCGTAATTTTTGTACTCCTCCGAGGTGTGATTTTTGGCGTGCTGGGCCAAGCACAAGGAAGCCATCTGCAAAAAAACTGCAGAAAATGGTTGTTGTTTGATCCTTTGGTGTAATCTTTGTTTCTAGTCGAAGCTAGTTGCTGGTTGGAGCAGAAACGCTGAAATTGACTATTTTCTGCATGTACTCATACATGTACTCCTGTACTCAGGCATGCAGTCTCACTCGTATTTTAGCTCTTTTTCTGGAATGGATGCTGCTCTGCGCCCCTTGGTGAACATTTCCTGCGCTCGTGGAGCAGCTGAAAAGGACCACTGGTATGTCTGATTCCTGGTTTGAAAGTGGAGAGTCGACTTTCGTGTCTTGAAAAAGGAGTAGAGGGCGATAAAGGTACGTCTGTGGCTGATTTTTGAGTGCTCCTCGTACATTTTTGATCGTGATAGAAATTCTCAGCCCAAAGTCAGGCCAAAGTCAGCGCGATGATGGTCGTACAGTTTTCTTGTGGATTTTTTAGTTGTTTCATCTCGTATCTATGTCAGTATCATGATGGTGAAGTGGAGAGGGTGATTTTCTTCCTCTAGGCTTCGTTCGGCCGACTTTGCTTCGTCCTCGTTGAAAAGTGATCCTGAAAAAAATGTCGATTCGCGAAATTATGTTGATTTTCAATGTACGTGATGACATGCGATTGCTGGCTATGGCTACACCGGGGACATCTTTCAAGAATGGAAACATATTGGCGTGGCCCCAAAGAGATTTGCAATTCATTCATAATGCACCTGAATCATGCAAGTACTGAAGTACCTGCATCGCGGCGAAGAGACTAAGCAGTGATGTGCAAGTCATATAATAATACTTCAGTAGGTTTTCCTTTGTAGACAAGCCCCACTCAAAACTGGGAACTTCTTTACGAATTTTTAATAGAGATTGCGTAAAACGAAAACTTTTGATATCTGCACACTAAAGTCTGGTGAGACCGACGCTACCACAAACTGTCAGAAAATGCGAGCAAGCAGCGCCCAGTTATGAAAATGTAATATCATAAATCACCACCAGTGCCCATTGTTGCTCTGAACCCCTTCCTGTTCCCAGTCTGCTGTTGACGTAACTGTCCGCGCTGCGTGCTCAGACAGACTTACTGAATTTGCCGTTTGATCGTCGTTCTGCAGCTCTGTAGTATTTCTCTTCCTCTGTTAGTTCTTTCTCTTCTGTCTGTCAGCGCTTACTGTCACCCAGCGCTAGGTGCAAGCACCCCCTGGCAGATTTATACTACATTGTTCTACTTGATAAATTTATTGTTCTCTCAAACTTATTCCTTCGTTGTGTACGTGTTCGAACTGTTTTTGAATTATTTTCGTTTCTTTCTTGCCATGTGCATGTGCCAGCTGCCGAAGTGTGCAGTCGCAGCAGCGCCATTTTTGAATAATTATTATGTCATTGATCATGTGATCACGAGCGATTGTTGCTAGCGCTAGATCCGCGGATCTGCTAGTGCCGTAGTGGTACGCATGCATACGTGTAGTTTGACTTGCCTGCGATAGTTTTCTGTGATCTGCTGTTTTGCACTGGAATCGCACTTGTACTTTGACCTCTTCACACTTCTCCTTTTGGCAATGCGTGTCCTAAATCTCTCCGCGAAGTTTCCGCTGATCCCGCGCGGGGTTCTCACGCACCGTGCGGCGCAGTACGGAATTTTGCACTTGTTTCTTTTCTTGTATCCTTTTCTGGTTTCATAGCACCTTTTCGGGACTGTTCCTCTGGGCGAGAAGTAGCCTTGTCTTGGTGGGTTTCTTGTTCATTGGTAGAGTTTTTCTTTGGTGCTCATAGAGTTTGCTTCGTCTTTCTTGTCTTATTATCACATTTACACTATCGTCATACTAAGCACAGCTTTGGAGTGTTGGCGAAATTACATGGTCCTTCGAGCCGGATTTCTATTGGAGAAATCAAGAACGAACAGCACTAAAGAGTTCGTACGGGACGCTGCTGAGTCACGTAACGAAAGTGTTTTGATCGCGATCGTTTCTACGTTGGGTGGAAGATCGTTTGGTTTGTTAGTCATGTCCGTCAGGCGAAGCCAGCGGGAGTCACGACGACCGAACTGGTACGGCGTCGACGCGGACATGGAAACGCCCGAGCCCTCGGTGAGGGAATATTCAGTTGCTCCGTCGCTCGTTGAGTCTGTTACTAGTAGTGTTAGTACCGTACGCAGGGCGAAACTGGCCGCACAACTCGCCTCTGAGGAGAGACTTGCCGATTTACAGCGGCGACAGCACCAAATTGAGTTGGAGAGTGCTGAAAAAGTCGAGGCTATCAGAGTTGAGATGGAGATGGCGGCCATAGAGGAAAGAACGTCTGGTGAGCGTAACACGCATATGGGCACACCGACAAATTTGGCACCGACACCAGCACCTCGAGCCAGAAGTGCGCGTGGGCGTTTGGATAAACCGTCGCCACCCCCGAAACCACCGTCCATGCGGTCAGCGGTCGGCACTGTGGCAGAGAGTGAGGCAGCATCCGTAACCTCTCTGCACCAACAGCTGGATGCACAGCAACGAGAGCACCAGCTTAAAGAGCGTGCATACCAGGCCATGCTCCAGCGTCAATCGGAACCGGTCGAGCAGTTGGCATCAGCTTTGGGGGCTGCCATGAAGGCCATGGCGCCTAACAGCACTGATCATATGAAGCGTTTTGTCGCTCGGCAGAGTGCCCACAAAGATTTGCCACTGTTCTCTGGGAGCCCCGAGGAGTGGCCCGCCTTCCTAAGCTCATATGAGCGGTCAACAAGGGAGTGCGAGTTTTCTCCAAGTGAGAACATGGCTCGGTTGGCAAAGGCGCTAAAGGGAAAGGCGCGAAACCTTGTGGCGGGAATGCTGACAGTTCCTGACAATGTTGACCAGGTGATCAGCATGCTGAGGCTCAGGTTTGGCAACCCTGACCTCATCATCCAGTCGCTCATAAAGCGCACCAAGGAATTAAACAGCATTAAAACAGTGGATCTGGAGAGCATAATCGAGCTCACCAGTGCTGTGCGGAACCTGGTAAGCACCATGGAGCTGTTGGAGGAGACGGATCATCTCACAAATCCGCAGCTCCGCCAAGACATCGTGGCAAAGCTGCCAAATGAGCTGCGCCTCCGCTGGGGAGAGCATGTGCAGAGTCTTGGTCGCCGTTCCACGCTGAAGGATTTGTCAGATTGGCTGACAGAGCGTGCGGCTGCAGCTTACCATGTGAGCCCACCAATCGTTGGCAACACCAACACCAGCGGTGGAGAACAGTCGAAACGGCGGGCCGGTCAACTAATGGCGACTATCTCCGAACAGAAGCGCAAACCAAGGGCATGCGCCTTCTGCGAGAAAGCCGGCCACTCAGTTTCGTCCTGCAAATCATTCAAGGATGTGAGCCAGAGTGAACGGCGTAAGTGGGCCCGGTCTGCAAACCGGTGCTATGTGTGTCTCGGGTATGGGCATGGTGCACGAAACTGCCAACGGAGCAAGCCATGTGGCGTAGATGGCTGCACGAGTCTTCACCACCCTCTGTTACATCCGCAGAACTATGAGCAACAAGGACAACGCAGAGTCTCTGCTGATAGTGAGCAGACTAACTCCATCACGACGGGATCACACGTGACCTGCAGCATGCAGAAGCCATCTGCGAGCGTCATCCTCCGAACAGTACCGGTACGCCTGATAAATGGCGACAACGAAGTGATGACGTACGCACTGTTTGATGAGGGATCTACAGTGACACTAGTAGACACCCAATTAGCCAAGACCCTGCAAGCGTCTGGCCCAGTGAAGCCGCTGTCTCTCACGTGGACAGATAAGCAGCATCAGCACCATCCTCAGTCCATGTCCTTGAACCTGCAGATTGCTGGGTTGCAGGGAGATGAGACCTTTCAGCTGAGAAATGCCAGGACAGTGAACAACCTCGATTTGACGTGTCAGCCGGTGACGTCTGCAAAGGCGCTGAACCAGTGGCCGCATCTGAAAGACGTGCCGGTCCACACACTCGATAACAAAAAGCCCCAGCTCCTGATCGGCCAGGACAATGTCAGCCTGACGGTCGGGCGAGAGGTCATTGAAGGCGCGCCCAACGCGCCGATCGCCTCGCGAACCAAGCTTGGGTGGGTCGTGCACGGTCGGTCATCTCATCGTCAGGGCAGAGTGGATGACGTCGTTCTGCAAACCATCTCTACCGAGGATGAAGAACTTCACCAGCTAGTCAAATCGTCGTTTAGGACTGACGATTTCGGAGTCAAGGTGCCGCACGCTACAGCCCACAACCGTGAAGAGCTGCGGGCATTTGAGCTGCTGCAGGCGACAACACAGCGGTTTGACGAGACTAGGTGGGAGACGGGGCTCCTGTGGCGCAAAGACGACCCAGTGCTGCCACGTAGCTACGGCAACGCGTTCAATCGACTCCGCAGCCTTGAGCGCAAGCTTGACCGCAACCCATCGCTGCTAGCGAAGTACGACGAGAAGATTGCTGAGTATGTCGACAAGCGCTACGCGGAGATTCTATCTCCCCATCAGGCAGCGGTGGACTCCAACACCACCTGGTATCTCCCGCACTTTGGGGTCACCAACCCCAACAAGCCGGACAAGCTACGGTTGGTTTTCGATGCTGCATCGAAAACCGGGGGAAGTAGCCTGAATGACGCCCTGCTCTCTGGCCCTGACCTGTTGCGACCGCTGCCAGCCGTACTGTTTGGTTTCCGCGAGGAGGCCATCGCATTTGGTGGTGACATACAAGAGATGTTCCACCAAGTGGTTATTAGGCCACAAGATCGCTGCGCTCAACGATTCCTGTGGCGTGGGCAGGACCGCAACAGCAAACCGACTGTCTACCAGATGAGGGTGATGACTTTCGGGTCAACCTCTTCACCGACGTCGGCGCAGTTCGTGAAGAACATCAATGCTGCCGAGCATCGTGACAAGCTCCGTGCAGTACAGGGTATTGTCGAGCATCACTATGTCGATGACTACTTTGACAGCTGTGCCGAGACCAAAGAAGCAGTCAAGATCGTGACAGATGTGATTGACATCCACAGACAAGGTGGCTTCCACATCAGGAACTGGGTTAGCAACTCACCGACTGTGCTTGAAGCAGTGCCGATTGAGATGCGCGCACCATCAAGCATCGTAAGTCTGGACGTCGATCCTGCAACGTCAGTGGAGCGTACGCTGGGAATGATCTGGGACCCCAGTGCCGACACGCTTGGTTTCCATGTCAGTAAGCTCCGCCTAGAACAGATGCTGACATCCAAAAGCACGACGAAGCGTCAGGCACTCAGCACTGTGATGTCAGTGTTTGACCCACTCGGCCTCGTCGCCTGTTACTCCATCAGAGCTCGAGTCCTGATTCAAAGCATCTGGCGAGCGTCCATTGGCTGGGATGATGAGCTGCCAAGGTCGCTGCAAGGCGAATGGACGAGCTGGTGTGGGGAGCTGACGGAGCTCGGCAAGCTGGCAATACCAAGATGCTACAGTTTGAAGCCCGGAGGAGTCGCTAACGTCCAGCTTCACGTCTTCTGTGATGCCAGTGAACTTGCATTCGCCGCCGTCGGCTACTTTCGCTTTCAGCTGAACGACGGAACAGTCGACACGGCGCTCGTTACGGCAAAGTCCCGGGTCGCACCGCTGAAGCCGCTGTCAATACCGCGTCTTGAGCTGCAAGCCGCGCTGCTCGGAGCTCGGATTGCAAACGCAATCACTAGCAGCCACAGGATCCAGCCCGACTCCACCGTGTTCTGGAGCGACTCGCGGACCGTACTCTGCTGGATCAAGTCAGACGGTCGCCGCTACAAGCCATTCGTCGCACATCGTGTTGGCGAGCTGTCTGAGCTGTCAAACCCAGATGATTGGCACTGGGTGTCGACGATCGACAATGTCGCAGATCTAGCCAGCAGAGGCGTCGCGGTGAATGAGATCCCGCCAACAAGCCGCTGGTTCACAGGTCCAGCGTTTCTGAAGGAGCCGACATCACAGTGGCCAACGGTACCATCCACCAGTGAGCCTGTTGAGAACGACGCCGATGATGCTGAACTGAAGAAGGAGTTCGTCGGACATGCTGCTCAACGTACAAATCGCCTCTGTCTGCCAGACCCTGAACGGTTTTCGTCATGGCACAAGCTTGTACGCACCACGGCATGGGTAGTCCGCTATGTCCGTAAGCTGAAGGCTAGTGTTGCAAGGAAGTCGACCAAGCTACCAGCTGAGTTGCTGGCGTCCGAAGTTCAGCACGCACAGACGCTGTGGTGGAAGACCGTCCAGCAAGACTGCTTTCCTGATGAGCTAGCATCACTGCAGAAGGGAGAGCCAGTCAGCCGTAGTAGCCGCCTCTACAAGCTGTCAGCTGGTCTCGATGATGATGTCATCAGGGTGTTTGGTCGAACCGATAGTGCAGCCGAACTCCGTCCATCAGCAAAGCGACCAGTGATATTGGACCCAGACCATCGGTACACGCGTCTGCTACTGCAGCAGCACCATGTGTGGAATGGCCACCATGGACAGGAACGCATGGCGAACGACCTGCGCCAGTGCTACTGGATTCTGAAGCTACGCGTCGCTGTGAGAAGAACATGGACCGAATGTCAGCGGTGCAAGAACGAGCGTGTCATTCCGCTGCAGCCTGAGATGGGCCAGCTACCAGAGTGCCGTATCACAGCCAATGTCAGACCATTTACGAACACAGGAATGGACTACTTTGGCCCGATGGAGGTCACGGTTGGTCGTCGCCGCGAGAAGCGGTACGGTGTGTTATTTACGTGTATGAGCACACGAGCAGTGCACTTGGAAGTTGCACACAGCCTCACTACCGACGCCTGTATCCAGAGCATCAGACGTATGAGTGCCAGACGAGGGCAGCCAGCCGCCATCTACTCAGATAACGGCACCAATCTGCGAGGAGCAGACCGAGAGCTGCGGGAGAGCATTGGTGAGCTTGATCAGGATCGTCTGACTGCCGAATTGACGGCTCGTAGTATTGAGTGGCACTTCAACCCTCCAGCAGCTCCCCACATGGGTGGGGCCTGGGAACGACTCGTGCGATCCGTGAAAGTTGCTTTGCGAGCATCACTGACGGAACAGCATCCACGTGATGAATCTTTGCTGACTGTGTTTGCTGAAGCCGAGAGCCTGGTCAATGGTCGCCCGTTAACGCATGTACCTCTGGACGCCGAAGACGACGAATGTCTGACACCCAACCATTTCCTGATTGGTACATCCAGTGCAGCGCTATGTCCTGGAGTCTTCAACAACGCCGACCTGTGTTTGCGCAAGCAGTGGCGTGTCGCCCAAGCGCTCACAGAGATGTTCTGGCGTCGATGGGTCAAGGAATACCTACCTACGCTAACACGTCGCACCAAGTGGCACCAGCCATGCCGTCAACTGGCACCCGGTGATGTAGTTGTTATAGCTGACGACAAGGCCACACGTGGAGTTTGGCCGCGTGGCATCGTGATCGCAGTTCACCCTGGCCGAGATGGCACCGTTCGAGTCGCTGATGTCAAGACAACCACCGGAGTGTACCGCCGGCCAGTAGCCTGTTTGTGTTACTTGGATGTACGTAAGTAACTGCAGTCAGTTACTAGGTGGGAGAATGTCCGCGCTGCGTGCTCAGACAGACTTACTGAATTTGCCGTTTGATCGTCGTTCTGCAGCTCTGTAGTATTTCTCTTCCTCTGTTAGTTCTTTCTCTTCTGTCTGTCAGCGCTTACTGTCACCCAGCGCTAGGTGCAAGCACCCCCTGGCAGATTTATACTACATTGTTCTACTTGATAAATTTATTGTTCTCTCAAACTTATTCCTTCGTTGTGTACGTGTTCGAACTGTTTTTGAATTATTTTCGTTTCTTTCTTGCCATGTGCATGTGCCAGCTGCCGAAGTGTGCAGTCGCAGCAGCGCCATTTTTGAATAATTATTATGTCATTGATCATGTGATCACGAGCGATTGTTGCTAGCGCTAGATCCGCGGATCTGCTAGTGCCGTAGTGGTACGCATGCATACGTGTAGTTTGACTTGCCTGCGATAGTTTTCTGTGATCTGCTGTTTTGCACTGGAATCGCACTTGTACTTTGACCTCTTCACACTTCTCCTTTTGGCAATGCGTGTCCTAAATCTCTCCGCGAAGTTTCCGCTGATCCCGCGCGGGGTTCTCACGCACCGTGCGGCGCAGTACGGAATTTTGCACTTGTTTCTTTTCTTGTATCCTTTTCTGGTTTCATAGCACCTTTTCGGGACTGTTCCTCTGGGCGAGAAGTAGCCTTGTCTTGGTGGGTTTCTTGTTCATTGGTAGAGTTTTTCTTTGGTGCTCATAGAGTTTGCTTCGTCTTTCTTGTCTTATTATCACATTTACACTATCGTCATACTAAGCACAGCTTTGGAGTGTTGGCGAAATTACAGTAACTCTCCCCACCACCCCACCACCAACCTCTCCATCGCTATGGTGGATAGTTCTTCCACAACCTCCATAGTACTGTCACCTTAGTGACCTTACCTTCATGAATGTGCCCAAAAACGTGGAATTTGGGTTTGATGCGATGTTGTACCTCGCGCAGCAAATCCACACAACCAGCTCGCAAGCCGTTAGAGCAAAGGTCACCATGTCCAATGGGCGGGCCGTGCGTCATCAGGATGTCAGTGTTCGACGGGATCCTCTGCCACTTCTCCAGGCAAGCATCGCCGCGGGGCAGATTGAATGCCCAGTCACAGAACTCTGGCTGCCTGGGGCAACACACATGCATTGCACACAGGCAGTTTGGCATTGGATGAAGCCATGCCGGATACATTCAAAAGGCTGCTTGTAAACCATCACAACCTGTAGACCAAGGTCCTTGCAAACATGCAAAGTATAACGTATAAGACTGTATAAGACTGAACCGCACGTCCATGGAAACAGGCATCAGGAACGAATATCAAGCAAAACTGTGTGATAATATTCCACAGTTTTGCTTGGTATTAGAATGATGGTAAGCCTCACCATGGCGAGCCGTATATGCGAAAGCCACGGACAATTACTTCAGCATCCTCGATGTATGTGCAGTCCTTCAAGAGAGCTTTGACGCCATCACTCTTCGCTTCCTTCAGCTCCGGCGCATGCATGGTGAAACGAGACTCCGCCTGGAACCGGTCCCACTGCTCCGAATGGAACGTCAGGTCATGATTTCCAGCAATGACAATCTTGTGTTCGTGCGGCAGCCCGGCAAGGTAGTCGTTGAACTCTTTCACCTGACTGGGCTGGCCAACATCAGTGAAGTCACCAGCATGCAGGAGAACATGGCCCCATGGCACTTCAAATTGGAAACGCTTGGACCGTCCATGCGTATCCGACAGACACACAAATCTAATGAAATCCAGAACACAAGCGGAGCACCCACAAGGTGGAATGATGCACTGAAATCACACAAGTACAACTAAAGGTAGCACCATCAGCCATAAAACACATGACAAAGTCCCGGACATTAAATACAACACCGTAGAAATCAGTATAGTCTAGTTGAGATAAAAACCCATGACACAGTGTAAACATAGGAGAAGTCAATAGCCAGTGTGCACAGTATGTACATGTATACTTGCTGTGTACCTTGTATGTCCTTCGGGACATGGTGAGCTGGGATCTGCAAGTTTCTCCACTACAGTACGTGGCGATACCGTCTGCAGGACACTCCAGGCTGTTGTGGGGTCGCCACGCATCTTCATTGCTGTAGTGGCTGGTTTACTGGTCCATACATCTTCAGGTGATCTCTAGTTGCAATTAATGAACACATGAATTACTATTACTATGGTAGCAAGCCAACTTGCTCTCAGCAAGATATCAATATGTTCTTTGCCGTGATCGTGCATGATCTGAGTCTAACAGGACGCTATGAATGCTAGGAGATTTTGTTCTTAGTAAACCAGGTTGAGGCTTTCCTTGAAGAACCAGTCTGGGAATTTGTTTTATCTGACTGTGACCATTCATTGCGCCTGTTAGAGTGATGTCACTGGAATAAATGCACGGCACGCGAACGTCTGTACTGCTGATGGCAGTAAGGTGTTAACAGAGTTTAGTCTGTTTACTGTTAATACTGTTGAGTGTGTGCCTCACCCAAATAATATCTACTGGGGCCACATAGAATTAATTCGTTGTTTCTGATCACTTCAATCATCCGTACCACGGTCGGTCGGTCGGGTATTTTTTTGGTTACTTAGAATGTAGATTGTGCATATCGAAAATCCAAGTTTTGTCCATCCAGCCAGTCGATCAAATCTGACTGTAATAATCACCTAACCCATTACTCGTTAGGGATGTTGAGTCCGAAAAGCACTGAAACCCCCGTTTTGTGACGTTTGAATCAGTTTCCACTTTGAGCATTCAGTTGCCAGGAGCATGGTTTGTGTTCTGAGGTTCAATTGAATTCAAAACTGCCATGTTTCAGAGCTAAACTTTTACCAATGGAGAATTTTTCGTATCATGAAGACTTATCTTGGCGAAAGGGAGTAATTATTTTATGGACAAAAACCTGACACTGTTTGCTAACGACTGCATGTATCCCTACTTATATTCGAATTACCCAGTGTACGCGTACCGTGACTGTTAGCAGTGTTACCGTGTCAGATCCAACCCTGACTGAGATCTATTATGTACATATTTTTTTACCAATATTTCAATTCAGATCTATTATACTCGAGCTCTGCTTGTAAACGGTTAGTAATTACAATGTAGTTGCAGTACTGTGAGAATGAGAACAAGGACTTCCCAAAATCATGAAAATCCCCTGTCGACTTTCTTACCACACCGACAGGCTCCTTCTTGGATGATCCGAGCAAACGCTCCATCAGAACGACGAGCGGCAGATTTGCGGAACGCGGGAGCAGGACTGAACGACTTCACTCAGAACTACTAGTAACTAAACTGGTCAGATATGACCGACTCGATTATCATCATAATACCCGGTGGGGAGTTTTCGCTCGAATGAAAAGCCTGTCAAAGTGATTCAGGAATTTTCAATCACGACACAGCATCTCGTTGTCCTGAGCTCAGGTGTGGCTAGTATGTACAGTTCAACCGATCATTGGCATTGTGTCAATGATGGAGTCTTCCTAGCGACACAAGTCACAACTCAGCCAGGGTCAGTGAGTGTTGCTTCTGACGGCAGATAGTCCAGGCAGACTACATAATAATTATACTACCGGTAGTACAATAATAATTATTACGAGAATGAGTAAGAACGAAAGCCAGAATTTATAGTAATTAATTATACTGGGGGTACCGGCCGGGTAAAGAATCAGCAAGAATATTCTTACGCGGCTCAACTACTATACTATTAGTATTACATTCACACTACACTTCAGCCGTACTGGTACCATAATGCGGGAAACAACACAGTACCAGAACAAACACGTGATAACGTTATCAGTCCGGTTGCAACAGCTAGCCGCAGCACCTGTCCTTGAACCACGGCTTGATGTCAGTGGTTACTTGGGAATTATTATTATTATTTTGCTTGTTCGCGTTGGCATCAACCTGCATAAAGCAGGTATATAGCCTTCGCTTAAGCTGCCATAAAAAAGAAAGCTCATCCTAAGCGAGAGGGCTAGAGGGAAATATAACGATAACGAGATACAGAATACAAAGAAATCCAATGAGTTCAACGTACAATTCAAAACAAGAAAGAAAGGGAAGAAAAACAGAGCCGAATCTACCGATTGATCCATCAATCGACAAAGGGGACTAATCCGTTAGTGTTGCAAAGTAGAAGCTGATTATAGTTGCAGATCTCCAGGCCAGGGCCAGCATATTGCCGATTCTGGATAGGTCTCCGCAGCATTTGATGTGGTAATTATCATAATGTTTGATAAAATTGTTAGAGTATCTAGTATCTAGAGTACCGAGTCTCTAGTATCTAGAGTATCTAGTGTAATTGTATCCGTTATTATTGTTAAGGGTATCTAGTGTAATTGTATCCGTTATTATTGTTAAGGGTATCTAGTGTAATTGTATAACTTCAGCCATTACACACAGCACACATTAGATCCTTCCACTTTCGACGATCCTGGGCGAGCTGCCTCAGTGCAACTAGATCCTCGTGTGATGTGAGGGAGTTTGTGGATCTGGAATTTTTCAGGTCGTTGTTGATGGATCGCGGGAGTGTTGTTCTCGGGCGGCCTCGGAACCCTGAGCTTCCTGGCTGAAAGTATGCCGACATAGCCTGCTGGACCGGGGATGAGGTGTCTAGTCGAAGCATGTGGCCAAACATTCTCCACCTAGCAGACTGGATGATTCTGCTGAGTGGCTTGGAGCCAGTGCGCTTGTACAGTGCTTCATTGCGTATACTATTATACGGGGATATTTGACCCCTATGACTGCTCGTAACTGCTGGCGGTGGAACGAGTCAAGTTTCTTTTCTTGAGTCTCTGTCAGGCTCCATGTGCCGCAGTTATAAAGAAGTATTGGGAGAATAAAGCTGCCGTATAACCTAATCCGAAGGGGTTCACGGGCATGGTTACCTCTTAGCCATATCACCCACAGCTGATGTAAGGCGCATGTTGCTAGACGTTTTCTCCGACTGATATCTTCCTCCACTCCAAGCATCGATCCTAGTTTGACCGTGTTCCGCCATCGCTCGTCTACTCTGTCCTTTTCTCTTTTAATTGTAGTATATTCGGTTTTGGCTTCATTCATTTTTAGATTGTATTCCGCTAACGAGGATGATAGTATGGGTTGATTGTCATGCAAATATTGTAGGCTGGTGCTGATGAAGTCTACGTCATCCGCATACGCTGTTTCATTGGGCAATTGAAGCTGAATATCCAATGCTGGTCGCGGTGAGAGTCGCTCTCGAATCAACCTCAATGCAGCCTCGAGGTAGACAGTAAACAGGACTGGCGATAGAGAATCACCTTGTGGGGTTCCATTGTGTGTGACTAATGGTTGGCTGAGAATGTTATTCAGCTTTACTTTTATTGTGGTGTCTGTCAGAAGGCACTGGATGATGTGCAGCTCATCATGATCAATGACTGTTGACAGTATATCGATCAGCCTGACCCTTGATATAGTGTCAAATGCCTTTGACATATCAATGCCTAAGATTGAGATCTCCGACGCAACACGCTGGCATCTTGCTGATAACCACCGATAGCTATATACCACGTCTCCAGTACTTCTCCCTGACCGGAACCCGCTCTGGTTCAGTGACAAGTACCCGTTGATAGCTGGCTTGATCCGCGTCAGGGGAATTAGTAAGAACGAAAACGAAGCCAGAATGCATTCCCTTCATGTGTTGCCTTTCCTGCATTTTTCCACTGCTCCATACATGGTAGTGTAGCAGGTGTAGTGTGAACTAACTTGAGCCGCGTAAGAATATTCTTGCTGATTCTCGATCTCTACCCCCAGTAAAAATTCTGGCTTCGTTTTCGTTCTTACTCATGCATGGCATGTAACCGGTGACATCAAGGTGCTGCATGCGGCTGTTCAAGTCGCGATCGCACTCATAATTAATTTTTATTTGGTGTGCAGGATCTAGCCTTCTAGGATTCGAATGGATGTTAGCTAAGTACAACTACAACTACACACAGTACAAGTACAAAGACAACTGCGCACAGTAAGCATTTCATAATTATCAATTATCCATATAAAACCGCTCTGTGAGCGGTTCTGAAAAACCTTTACTGGTACTGCCCCGTCTAGTCCGTGAGCCAAAACTCAAAATCACAAGTGCCGTTGCACTCTCGGAGGGACAAGTCGCCGCTTACAGTGTTGGTCAAGGACATCACAAAGGATACGTTTTCGCTTGTTGGACGTTCCAGAACCGATCCAGAGACCTTCGGGAGGGCTTCTTTTCTCGACCAAATTCCACCGTGAGAACAAATATTTTTACGCGAGTGGTGAGGTGTGCATCGGACGAGTAAGCACAAAAGTACGATTTCGGGTGGAATGAGGAAAAATAATTTATTTTTTAGAAGATAACGACGTTGACGACAATATGGATTTGGGGTTTTGTGATCACTTTATTGAAGTTTATTCCTTTCGTGTACATTGATGTTGTTTGACAACAATGGAAGAGGAGGAAGACGTTTCTAGTGGCAGCGAGGTGCCAGATGGGGCAGCTGACGGCAACGAAGTGGCAAATGACAGCCCAGCGGAGTAATATTGCTGGAATTTATGTCTGTGTGACAGCACCCAATTTAGTAGAAACGAGAAGCCTGCAGCGAGTAATATCGAGACTACAAGTTGGCGTCGCATCGTCAGCGCTGTTCGAGAGAAGGACGACCATGTCTGGGATTTTCTTTGCCAGCACAAGGGCTCAGGGAAGAGCAAATGGTGTGGCTGGTATCATGGAAAGTGCTACACCAATTGCACGCATGTGATCCTGAGCATTTGCAACACTGGAGAAGACCAGTGCCTCTGATTTTGCTTTATCTATACTTACTGACAGTGATGTGCATGTAGTAGTGAACCCAGAGCCACATCCTAAGGCCAACAAGGGGCTACCTACCAGGAGCTTAGTGGCTGATACGAACAACGAATGCCATGAAAGCAGAGCACGGTGTCAACACAACACCGAGAACTGGTCCACCCAGAGTTTACGGAAGGGAATGTTTTGTTGCAGGCAGCACTGGAGAGGGCAAGACGACAAGTACTGAAGTAGCGAGGGCGAAACCAGCGCTGCTGGAGGTCCAAGCCAGAGCACCTGGCTGCTTGACGAGGAACATACTGTACCATTGTCTGTGTATGTGTGCCAGTGTGTGCATGCGTGTGTGCGTGCACGTTTCTGTGTGTGCGCGTGCGTGCGCGCGCGCGTGCATGTGTGTGTGCTCGTGCGTACATGTGTGTGTGTGCGCGCGCGCGTGCATGTTTGTGTGTGCGCGCGCGGGTGCATGTGTGTGCGTGCTAGGCGCTTTCCTTTGTTGGTGACACCACCCCAGGCTACAACTGCGGGCCGGATGGTGGGTGTCGGGGCACGGTGTTGCCACAATCACTGTGGTCAGTGTGATCC